TCTCCAAGAGTACAATCAATCCTGGACGATAATCTCATCGCAGCGACATGTCACGGTAGTGGGCTGAGAGGAACCGTAGAAGGTGCGGGTACACAGACCACATGCGTTGATGCAGGTCCACAAATTGCCCTCTTTTTGGTCATGTGCCGAGTCCTTCGCATGTGTGTTATTCTGGGTGGGTGACTAGATGGCGCGAGGTGGTGTACGCAACGTCAAGCACCATCGCACGTGAGGTGCATCGCAAGGCAGATTGTAGGCTGAGAAAGCAGGCGGTGGCATGTCGGCGATGGGAGCTGTATGCAGCGTTGGGGGTGGCCTGTTGATAGCTGTCGTCGCTGGCTATCGTTGGCTATTTGTCGTTCGGCCCACACGCTCCGCCCGTACGTACCGCGCTGAGCTGTCAAGGGCTCCACATCACAACAGTGCAGCGCGACAACCCTCCGACGATGCCTGTTCAACGCACGGCCATATGCAGGCGTGGGTCTCATATTGCCGCCTCAGGGTCGCTCTCAGGATAGCGTCTTTTACCGTACCTCTGTGAGTGATGTGCCATAACGCGTGATTCGTGGAACTGGTTGTGCCCTTGTACACATTACACATTATGATCTTGATCATCTTAACGTTGCCGTCTTGATGGATCATATCTCATTTTAATCTCAATATTTTCCCATTTGATGTTCGTCAGGAAGCGAAAAGTTGTAATAACTCGGTATATGTGCCCTGGTAATTAATACCCACAAAACTCAACACCCCCACAACTCAACACCCCCACAACTCAATATTACAACATCGCTAGAAGAACATGTACAAAACGATGATCTCTTTTCAGAGAAGCTCGATGGACTCTTGGGTTATTCAGTCCCGAGATTCCATTATTACCTGAAAGCATGCTGGGAGTTCTCATTTCTACATTGTGGTGGATGGAGTGGGAAGCCCAAGAGATTCTGATGACGCTCGCCGCCTTTATCTAAGGATCGCCAGTAACCAATAGGCTTTTGATCATTATATGCGGCAGTGAAAAGAAACGGAATAGCTTCTTTTTTGCTGTGGACGTTTAAGGAAAGATTGCAAAGGTGATTGAACACGACTATGCTGCTGACGTGGACATAAGAAGTACCCCTGCTTTACAACAAGGGCGCCTGGTTAAGAGGCGTATATGAAGGTATTTATTGTCTATATTCGCACAAAGACAACGGCCTGAACTCTACTCCCTTCTCTACTCTTGAACGGATCGTCATGATGGAAGCGAAGCAAGACATTGACCTTGGTGAGCTCTACGTGTCGTATACTTTAGAGGAAACTAATCTTCCATTAGGGTTGTTCAACTCCAAAGACCACAATGGTTTTGTCTGGCCAGTCAGATACAGTCACGACTACATGCCAAAAAATGAAGCGTCCATGCCACCTTTTGTCGACCTGTCCTGCTTCCCTGATCTGAAGGCTGAGACTATCAGTGTTGAGCCAGTCATCAACGCAGTTCAGATTGAAACTGGATACTTGATCAAGGAGTGTGAAAGACTTAGCATGAACAGCATTCCTGTCTTTCCTGTACATGCAAAACTTCCATGGTATTCTTCGATTCACCATGTAAGACAGAACATACACTGGCCAATGGCTATAGAAGCAACACGAGTGCTGCTACAGCATTTTGCTTCCGACCAAACTGCGACAAGTATATTGAAGAATGGAGGCAAATCGTACTCCGAGATAGCCGCTAAGGAGCTGCCGATGTTACATGATAACTGGACTCGGTTCTGTGCTTATCTGTGGCCGGCTGCAAGCGAGGAGCGACTGAAACTCATCGCTGAGACTATTGTCTACATCTTCATCTTTGATGGTAAGCGGAATCTTACAAGAAATATTACTACTCTAATCACTTCTGGTACAGATGTATGGGAGATGAGTGACGAAAGTACAGTGAGTCGTTCCAAACTGTTGAGGCTCCACATATTTAACAGCTGAATGGCAGATCCAAACATTTCAGAACGAATTCGTATCACGACTAAAGGCTCAAATGCCTTACGGAGACGATGAACCAGTCTCGATCTTGCAGAAGGCCATGCATGCTACTATCCAAGGCCTTCATGATCAAGATGGCATCATCGGTGACGGAGGAGCCGAGGTAGTTGCAAGATTGATGGATTTCATCAATCACCCCCCGCCCCCCACCGAATTCCACAGTCTGAGAGAATTTCTGGACTATAGAATAATCGACGCAGCTGTCCCGTAAGTACGGATCAATAGTCTACACATTACGAAGGAAACTAATTATAAGTTCCAGTTACGTCATAGCGTGCACGAAGTTCTCTCTTTGTTCAACTGTCGACATTTCCAGCCCCAGAATTGCCAAATTTCTCAGGCTATTTGCGGACCATGTATCGATTTCAAATGACCTTGGTTCTTTCGATAAAGAGAAAAGAGCCTACGTAGAGAGAAAGGTGCACTACCTTGTGAACACAGTGGAAGAAGTTCGGAAGACTTATTCCCTTCCCAACGACGAAGCCGCGAAATTTGTCACGTTGGCTATCCAGGTGGAAGTGGAAAGAGAAATGGCAAGAGAACTTTCACAACTCAATGTCGATAGCAGCGTTCCTGAACCTGAGAAGGAATTCGCAAATGCGTTGGTATTCACAGTCAGTGGAAGTGTTTTGAGCTCAGTTGTCATGTCTCGATATGGTGGTAGATATATTGGCGGTTGAGGAGTTAACCGAACTTACACCTTCTTTATCTTAACTCGAAACTTATCGCCTTGAATATGAGTTTGTAAGATCTTGTCTTCCTCCTTACACAGCTCATGAAATGTACAGATGATATCATGAGCCGATTCCGTAGATGAATATTTGCTGCGAATGTTGAACCTCAATTCAAGAAGTTTTTTCACATCGACACCATCCTGTAATGGGCAATGTGGAAGTAGCATCCCTAAGCCAGTCAAGCACAGCGCTGTGATGACAACTCGATATTCACTACGCACTGAGTGTTTGCCCTGGTTTATGGAAGTGGTTCATGGAAGTAACAACGCTCGCTATACAGATAAGTCGCAAGGAAAGAAGGAGGCGAGTCAAGAGTGTCATCGCTCTTGGACGACGATCTCATCGCGGCGAGATGTCACGGCAGTGGGTTGGGATGAACCATAGAGGTACGAGTACGAAGGCACATGCTTTGATGCAGGGCTATTCTGTGGCTTGAGAGTGTCTTTGGAGCTAAGGGCGCGTCGAGGAATGTGGATGGTGGCGCGGGTGTAGATCGGGGAAGGGATGCAAGCTTGGAAGTGATGACGTTCTAGGGGTCGGTCCGCGGAAGCTGGTGCGTGTGGGAGGCTGGGGCCTCGGGAAGTTGCTTTTTCTTACGGGCTGCGGGCTCGAGTATCTGAGAATCGGGGAGATGGGGTAAACTATTTTTTTTCTCTTGTCTTTTCCGATTAAATTCGTGTAGGATAAACATTCTCCTTATGCTCTACGTATCTTGTAAAGAACGCTGTGGCGTTGTTGGTGTGGGAGACTGCGACACCTCCAACACCCAATTCCCATCATGTCCAACCCTGATTCTACATAAATGCATTGAAGGCCGCGCCTCCCACACCGAACAAAGCAGCATATTTCACTTCTGCAATAAGTCAGCTTTCTGATCTACCCAATAGTACCGCCTTTCGAAATCCCTAGACCAAGACAGAGACCGAAAGCCAAGATCGCGTACCGTGAGCATTCGCCGCACCCGTGCTAGTCGCTTGAGCCGATGCATCAGATGGCGAAGACGCAGATACAATGGTTGCAGCTGAAGAGTAGACTGTAGGATTGATGCCACCGAGGCTCGTGACACCTGGGGGGACTTCTTGCGCCGCGGCTAGAACGCTGAAGAAGGCGATGAATATGTATAATGGTGTGTTGAACATGATTGCAATTGTTTAGACTGACAGAGAGGTGCGATGCAGGAACGACAATGATAACTTGGTTGGCTGCAGGTACGGTCTTGAAGAGATGGAGCGATTGATCATGCGACTTGTTACTGAATCGGGCCCATGTCAGTACTGTATGTATGTACTGGCGTTTACCATGACGACTGCCACGTATGACGCAGACGTCTCAGTCCAGCGACAACTTAGACTTTCCATGGACGATGCTTCTTCTCCTTTGCAACCTTCATACTCCGGATGATGCGGTTAGCGACCTTCTTAGTGCGGGATAGCGCGGAACTAAAGCTATGTCAAGATGTAAATGACGTAGTCAAGACGGAACTCGGGCCTTGGAATTGGACCCTCTCCAACACAGGTATACAGGCCTGACAACTTGGTGCGAAGAATACCACATGTCCGTTGTACGAGTGGAGCTAAACCTCTAGTTGCAATTTGGACGCGATGTTGTGATATCACCTGTTTCCAGGAAGTGACACAAGCTGATTAGGGAGTAAGAATAGTTAATTCTATACTTAGGTTCTCGAGCTGTCTCTCCCCCCGCACTAGAATCTATCATAGGGTAGCGACATCCTCATAGTCCACTAACCACCCATTCCTACACTTCGAGTCGATCATCTTCCCCATCCCCATCCCCAGCGCCCCCTAAGAGGATTCGTAATCCCACTTCCTTGCGCAGCTTTTGCCTGAACCTTCACTGGCTGCAATTGCTGCGCTTGGGATGACTTCACTGCTGCATCCGTCTCAGATACTTTTGCAGCTGCAGCTGATGCAGGCGCTAAGCCGGTCTTCGTGGCACCCAGTGGGGATAGTTGCTGTTGCTTCTGTTGGCTTCCAGTCCCGGGGCTGGCGCCCTTCTCTCGTCCGAAAAGTTCTGAGATCCTTGACGTGGGACTGCGCCGTGGCTTTAGTGAGTCTCTACGAGTGAGCGCCGGAGGTTTGGGATCAGTCTGCTGCGTTGCTGGTGACAGACTTGCGTTGGCATTTGAAGGGGCTAGGGCAGCTGCCTTCCGCGGTGCCTTCTTGGGTAAAGCATACGGATCACTAGAGCTGGACTCATACATTCCGTATGAGGTCACTCGGCGCGGCATTACTGGCTTAGCATCTCTTGGTTCTGGTCGTGGGCTTGACTGGGTTTGTTGTTCTGAGATCTGGTCTGCGCGCTGGGTTGTACCCAATGAACCTTTCGGTGGTTGTAATCCGACAGGAGAATTCCCCCTGTCGTAAGCTGGGACTGGCGATGTTGTACCACGCGACCCTTGTGATGTGGCCGACATAGGTCCATCTCCCCCTCTCCTTGAGGCTCCAAATTCTGGTAACGCCGCTCTGGAGATTGGCGTACCTGTTCTAGTTGCAGTAGATGACCGTCGACCTGGTTGTACCGCGACAGGCGAGGCCGCACCTCTGGACTCTTGCCGCGGGGTTGATCTTGAGCTGCTTTCCTTTGTTGATCTGGCTTGAATGTCTGGCAAAGCTTCTGGGGAGACTGCTGTACCCCTTCTAGGAGCGGCAGACCCTCGCCGGATGCTGGCTTGTCGAGATATTGAGGGGATCGTCGCCGATCGTGTCGGTGCTCTGGAGACCGTTGGTACTTCTGTGAGGATTGGCGCTGCTCTGTCTTCTCCGACTGCTGATGACTTCCGTCGCGTGTTCGTCCTCTTGACTGACGACGATGGCCTTCGTGTGGCGGTTGTTGAATCTTTTCGTGCGGATTGTGAGGCTGTTGCGGAATCAGGCACTCGTCCTGAGGTTGCACGACGAGTGTTTGCTCGTGCGATTTGCGCTTCTTCTGGGTTTGCACCTGAAAGTCTTCGATCACCTTCATCTCCGGTGGATGTTCTTGGGATGGTCTTTGAGCGCGAGAGGTCAACCGTGCTGTTGATCCAGGCATTGTCATCTTCGAAGGGCCCGCTTGAGTTATCGATGCGACGGCGGGTGGGTATGTCTTCATCATGTGCACCCTTGGCGTCGGCAGGCGCAGGATCTTCTTCCATAACCACTTCAGTCCGCCTTTGTTCTTCGGTTCGTGCTGTTGGCTCTTGCTCTTGCTCTTGTCCCCTTGGCACTTGAACACCAGACAGTTCCGGAAACCTGCTCGGCGAATGATCTGACTCTCCTTCGTCTGACGGGCCTTCTTTCTGGGGAACTGGAGAAAACTTTTGCCGCGTCTCAGGCGACTGAGCTCCTTCTTTGGGCGTTGCTTCTGCTTTCGAGGTTGGGCTTCCCATTCCAGTCCGTCTGCGTACGTCTCTTCGGACGGGTTCCTGGAAGTCTTCTTCACGGCGTTCTTGATTCGTTCGAGAAGTCTCGTCCTCAGTCTCCAGCTTATTCTGGAACGTAGGTGCTCTGGAACTGACTGCAACATCTTTCTGGATGTAGAGAGCTCCTTGAGATTGCGATTTGCGGCGGGAGGGGCCTGACGAGACGCGACGGAAGTACTGCGCACGCGGTTCGTCCTGAGGCGAATTCTCGGGTATTGAGGCTGACTGTGGGATGGAGTAACTGTTTCTTCGAGATGGTGAAGGCTGGAGCTGCGAACCGTTGTCAATGCGGTCTGGAAGGATCGGACTGACTGGGTAGTAGTCGCCCTTGTTAGCGTAGACGGAGGGTTGTCTTGTTCGAGTGTCGGCCCTTCGGGGAGGAGGGGCACTGGAGTCTCGACGATAGGTAGCCTGTCTGGTCTGGTTCGGATAGCTGTTTTGCCTTTTTTGCGTTCCCCCTGGGGCTTCTGGCGACCCAGGTGCCGCGTCCAGAAATGGCTGCACTTCTGATGGGTCTAGGGCAGGCTGGCTTGATTGACGGGATTTGATTCCCTCTAGCTCAGAAGACTCCTCTAGCTCAGAAGACTCCTCTTCTGGCTTGGCCCCGAGATTAAGCCATCCTCTCTTCTTGGGCGGACTCTCAGCTTTCACCTTTGGTGATGGAGTTCGAGTGTCCGGCTTCGTCCATGAGGGAGTCTCCCGTAGGGGATATGCAGGCGCTGGCGGATATTGCTGCTCAGGTGGGTAGTTCGCGCCTTGCTTCGGCTTCTTCGTCTGGCTTCTAGTTTGCGTTCCGACTTCTATGCCCTCAAGTATGGTCTGTGGAGGAGACGCTGTGATACCAGGGGCCGCACTGCTGCGTCGACGATCGGTTGTGCGAGGCTCTGTGGGCGCTACTCTCAATCTTCCCTGTACCTGCGGGGTCTCATCGAGCACAGCTTCGGCGCTGGAGTGTACTGAAGGCTCTGATCCTCGAGCGGATGGCGTGAACCCTTGAGCAGCGCTACTTCGTCTTCGATTCGATTCGAGAGGTATTGTTGACGCCCGTGGTACATCGACTGAGGGTTCAGGTGAAGCCTGTGTCCTCACTCTTTCGAGAGGGACAGTCTTTGATGGCAGGCCTTCAGGGTCGATATATACCAAAGGCTCCAGTGCTGGAGAGGATCGCATGGTAAGTGCTCTATCGAGTTGGTCAGGAGCAGCACTGCTTTGTTTGCGCTCTACGTCGCGAGCTATTGTTACAGCCCGTGGTATGTTCGCTGGATACCCGGGTGAAGTCTGTGTGGCACGTCTCTCAACGGGGGGCATCGTGCCAGTCGGGCTTCGAGCTTTGACATGTTCCAAGGGCTCTACTGTCCGAGAGACTTGAGTAGTCGGTGCTCTCTCAATTTGACTAGTCATATCCTCAGTGCTGTTGGAGTTCGTCGGCGCAATAGCGTTGGGCTCAGGTTCTTCCCCAAGTGGCTCGTCAGCGATGCGTTGATATACGCGGAGCGCAAAAGAGTTCGGATTCGATAATACATTAGCAGTCGGTGCTCTCTGGATTCGACTACTCGTTGCCTCAATGACGTTGACATTGGTCGACGCGATAGCGCTTTGACTTTCAGCCTCAGAGTCCTCTTCAAGCGGTTCTTCGGCAATCCGTTGATAGACGTCAAGTGCGAGTAATTCGGGATCGAATGTAACATTCGCAGTGGATGCTCTTTCGAACTGACTAGCCGGTTCTTCGAGATTGTTGACACCAACTGAAGTAGCGCTTTGGCTCTCGGGCTCAAGTTCTTCTTCAGATGGCTCCTCGGCCATTCGCTGATACATATGGAGCGCGAAAGGTTCCGAGTCAGCCTCGAAAGCGGTCGTGGGCGATCTCCCAACCTGATCAGTGTCCTCATCGCGGCCAGGGACGTGGATTGATGCGGGAACCTCCTGCCTCTTAAGTTCTGTTCGTTCATCAAGCGGCGCTTCAACATCTTGCTCGGCACTTCGGAAAATCAGAGATCCAGTACGAGTACGAAGCGGAAGACTGGAAGACAAGGTTCTGTCGGCTATGGTGAGCCGCTCATTGGGCATCGTTTCCCTCCGAATGGTTCTTTGCCGCTCGAAAGAGCGCTGTGTAACTTCTGCGTCTACCGAAGGCTCGGATGCGGCATCATCTGCTTCTCTCGACGGATCCACAGGACTTTTAGATATAGCAAGAATGCTCGCCATGCGCGTAGGCTGGGATGAGATAGAACGCGACAAGATCGCCGGCTCAAGGACGTCCTCTGTGTCCGATGGAGGCTCAGGCGAAGGCGCACGATAAATCTCGGCCTCACGGATAGTTACCTTACGCGTTGGCTGACGTGAAACCCGGCGAGATGACATGGGCTGTGCAAGCGTATCCTATTCAGCAGGCGACAGATCGGGAGATGTGACAAGCTCATCTGTCGGAGCAGTGCCTGTCCGACGAACTTCGAGCGCAGTCTGACGTGTATCAGAGTATGCATATAGCTGATCAGGCAACTCGTCCATGGCAAGAGACAGGACTGGAGAGGTTTCGAGGCTTGGAGAGTCATTTGGCTGAGCAGTTGTCGGTACTGAGCTTCTTCGACGGACCTCCACCGTAGACTGGCGTGAATCAAGAGGCGGAAACGTCTGATCATTTACGTCATCCGCAGCGAGAGACAGGACGGGAGAGATTTCGGGCCTTGGAGAGTCGTTCCGCAGTACAACTGATGGTATCGTGCTTGTTCGACGGGACCCCTGTGTAGGCTGTCGCGATGCCACACGAATGATAAGGGGCATCCTAGATGAGATCTCTGCCGCAGGTGAGGGGGTGCGTATAGTCGAAGGCTGCCGCTGAATAGCCGGTGTCACTGTGCTTGTACGTTCAACTCTTTGCGTAGGCTGACGTGATGTTGCACGTATAAGAACTGGCTGCCTAATCGATTCGTCTGCAACAGGTGATGACGTTGGTACAATGGAGTCCAGTCGCTGGGCAGTCGGTGATGTCGTATTTGTTCTATGGACGGGTAGCGTGGGTTGGCGAGAAGCCATACGCAAGAGAGCCGGTTGCTCAAGCGAGGGCTCTGCCACAGGCAACGTGGTGGCTAACATCGACTCTTGCCGCTGAATAGTCGGTGATGTCGTATCTCTTCTATGGACGGGTAGCGTAGGCTGACGAGAAGTCACACGCAAGAGAGCCGGTTGCTCAAGCGAGGTCTCTGCCACAGGCAACGAGGTGGCTAACATCGACTCTTGCCGTCCAATAGTCGGCGACATCGTACTTGTTCGACGAATCATCAGCGTATCCTGCCGAGAAGCTGCACGCGAGAAGACGGGCTCTTCTTCCAAGTCATCCATAGCAGGTGGTGATGTGGGCCTGGCAGAGTTTTGCCGCTGGACGCTACCTGTTGCAGTACTTGTTCGACGAATCCCTGGCGTGCCCTGTTGCGTGGACGCTCGCGAGATGAGAGGTTGTGCTTCCAAGTCATACGAAACAGATGGAGAAGTGGGTCTGATAGAGTCCTGGCGCTGGACGCTACCTGTTGCGGTACTTGTTCGACGCATCCCTAACGCGCCCTGTTGTGTAGGCGCTCGTGAGATGATTGGCTGTGCTTCCAAGTCATACGGAGAAGATAGAGAAGCGGGTCTGATAGAGTCTTGTCGCTTGTTGTTGGCTTTTGCACTGCTTGTGCGGCGGGTCTCCAGTGTAGGCTGGCGGAAAGTCGCACGCGAAATCACAGGTTGTGCTTCTGAATCATCCGCACTAGGTGGTGAAGCGGGCCTAACAGAGTCTTGTCGCTGAATCCTGGCTGTTGCTGTACTGGTACGGCGACTTGCAAGCGTTGGCTGGCGTGAAGCTAGACTCAAGAGAATGGGTTGTTCAGATGCGTTATCAGCAACCGATAGTGGGCTTGAAGGACCTTGTCGTAACTGAGATGGTGACATGGTAGCTGTCCGGCGAGTACCAAGCGTAGGGGAGAACGAAGCTGTGCGTGACAAAACGGGCGATTCCGGTAAATCTTCCACTACGGAAGAATAACTGGAAGGTATCGAGACAGCTATTGAGCCAGGTATGAATGATTCTTGTCGTTGCGCAAGAGGTGGCGCTGTACTTATTCGGCGAATTCGCTGCACAGGAGGCTGGAACTCAGGTTCTTCTTCAATGACCGGTGATGCAGTGTAGTGGTCGCTGTAAGTATCAGACGTGGCTTCACCGTACCCTTGGCCCACTTGACCCCGAAGTTGCGCCTCAATTTGAGGATCGTCCATCGTATCATACTGCGGGTTATCTAGCGCTTCATACGCCAGCTCAACATGCTGATCAGGCTCCATAACGTCACTGCTCTCATCAGTGGGCGCATGTTCAGCAGCTGGCAATGTCTGCAAGACGGCGGTGATCGAAGCAACAGCAGCCGGAAGCTCGTCTCTCGCCACTCGAAGCACCTCCTAGATCTCTTCAGGCGAAACGTCTTCAGCCTTGTATGGCTCTTGACCAGCAGATGGAGGCTCTTTCGGTTGAATGAGGATCCGAGTGAGTGCGCGACTGAGCCGAAGCTCGTCCACACTCTTATCGACAACGCTTTGAACTTCGTCTTCGACGGTGTTGGCGGCGTTGGAGCTGGGCCAGGTTGGCCTGCTCGAGATGCCAGTGGACGCTTTACTGAGAACACGCTGCACCATTGCGGTGACCAGATCGTCCTCCTGGTGATCCGGAACGTCAGCCCCGAGGTCTCCGATGTCGACAGTCTTGTTGCTCTGCCATGTAGATGCGCGTGAGAAGCCAGAGGGCACCTTGCTGAGAACACTTTGCACTATCTTGGCCACCAGATCATCATCATGCAGACTCGTAACGTCAGCTCCGGGCTCTTCATAGTCGACAGGTCTGATACCGTGCCACGTAGATGCTCGCGAGAGGCCACTGTTGGTCTTTTCGAGCGTAGGCTGCGTAAGCTCGCCGAACGGCTCGTCTTCGTCGTCGTGCTGACCAGTCTGAGTAGTATCGAAGTCAGTAGACGTATCCTCCTGCTATTCGGATTCGCGCGAGACGCTGGTAGGAGCCTTGCTGAGCCCACGCTCTACACTTTCAACAAGGGCTTCGTCTACCGGTGCATCATCATCCTTTTGCCATGTAGAGTTGCGCGAGAGACCAGTAAGAGCCTTGCTGAGTACACGTTGTACGGGCTCGACGAAGGAACTGTCTGCCGGATCGTCCCCTATACCAGCCCAAGTAGTATTGCGCAGGAGACCAGTAAGAGGCTTGCTGAGTACACGTCGCGTTGCGTCGACAGAAGCGTCCCTGATCCACGTAGAGGCCTGCAAGATACCAGGAGGGGACATGCTCAAAACACGCTGCACTGGCTCGATGTCGGGGTCTTCGACGGCCTCCTCATCTTCTCCATGCCATGTAGAGCTGCGTGAGAGGCCAGTAGGAATCTTGCTGAGCACGCGTTGCACGCGCTGTACCGAGTCGACGATGGCATCTACTTGCGATGTAGACGTGCGCGAGAAGTCTGCAGGGGTTGGGCTCAGTACACGCTGCACAAGTCCGAGACTGCGATTATCGACTGCTTCTTTCTCTTCCTCATCTCCGTCATCTTCTCCAGGCCGTGTAGCCCTGCGTGAGAGGCCGGTGGGGATCTTACTGAGCACACGTTGCACACGTTGTACCGAGTCGATCATAGCATCTTTCTGCGAAGTAGACGTGCGTGAGAGACCGGTAGGAGCTTTGCTTGATCTGCGCTGTGCTGGGTTGAAATCGAGGTCATCAGCAGCCTCTTCCTGGCTTTGCTCATGCCACGTAGAGCTGCGTGAGATGCCAGTAGGCGCTTTGCTGGAATCGAGGTCATCAGCAGCCTCTTCTCCCTGATTCTGCTCATGCCATGTAGAGCTGCGTGAGATGCCAGTAGGCGCTTTGCTGAGCATACGCTGTACTGAGTCGATAAGAGCGTCTCTCTGTAATGTGGATGTACGCGAGAGACCTGTGGGAGCTTTGCTGAGTACACGGTGTGCATGTGGTGCATCCGAATCAGTCACCGACTCAACCTCTGGTTGGTCTCGAAATTTGACGTCGAGATCTCCAGCGATGGAATCCAGTTCGTCCATAAGCTGTTCTCGGGCCTCCGAGAGTTCGGTCAAGTGCCTACGCGTTTGCTGTAGCCAGCTGTCTTCGGTAAGCGGCTCGTCCTCCGTAGCCCTGTTCTCTGCTGTTCCAAAGGAGACATCCGTGTGACGTGAGACAGAATCCATGGGTGTGGTCTCGTAAGGGGCGTTGTGGAACATGTCATCGTCGGTCGCGGTGGGCCTTCGGTCAAGATCGAAGCCAAGATCGTCAGCTGCAGATTTGACAAGGTCGACAAGATCGGGTATCGACTGCACTTCTTCACGCAGGCTCGATTGAGGATCGTTGAGGTTCGGCTTGACTTGGCCTGTAGCCCCAACGTTGAGTTTCTCTGCCGCTTTGGGTGGGAGATATGGGCAGGGTGGAAGCCAATCATCGTCTCGTCGACAAGATTCATGTGCTGAACGGCAGGATGTCCGGCAGCGATTCCTGTCACATCCGTTGGTATTGCATCGCTGAACAAGGTCTCCAGACACCCTTCGCAGCTGGTCGAGACTAGGTTGGGTGTTCTTGATGTTGCTGATGACATTCTGAAGTGTGTTTGCATGCTCTTCTAGGATATTGTCGATGATGTGACCCAACTCATCAGCGAATCTATCTCCGCATCTGTCATGCGACATGCTTTCAGACTGACACCGACGACGCCTCTGCCGGCGGCAACAGTCATCTGTGGAGATTTTCGATGAAGGGGTTGTAGAGGTCAACGACTCTGATGAAGCTCGTCTGCGTGTCCGCCGCTTCGTAGACAGTAGCTCTTCAAGCACTGGTACTCGGGTCGAACATTGCCGACATATTTTCTCTTGTGCAAGCTCGCGGTGTTCAGTTTTGCCCATGTATGAGAAGTGCCCACACGCTCGCTTGGTCCAATTGCCAGGGTCTCGTAACGGTCGGCTCGTCTTGTTGATGCCATGCGACTTGATTCGTGCGCCTGGGAAGCCAAAATCTTGTGTGACGCGACGTCCGTACCCTTGGCGGTTGTCGACATCGTCCGGCACTTTGGTCTCGCCATACTGCTCTTCGACACCAATGTTGGCAGTTGGTATCGAGCCTGAGATACAGCTTTGTCGAGAGACACTCATGTCACTTGCACCGTCGTGGCCGAGAT